GCTAAAACCCAAGAGGAATTTCGAACTAACAGTTAGGTATTTAGACATTGGGGCAGCAGGAAAAGGCAAAGTCGTGAAGGGTAGTAGTGTACAAAGTTTGTAACGACAGGTGAAAAAAGAACGAACGGATACGCACCTGGTGGAATAGCAGAACACTGGAAACGCACCTTTGACGGGGTGATTTACCCAAAATGGGTAAAGCCTAAACGAAAACTAAAGAAGAATAAGAGAAAAAAAATCACCTGAAACGGAGCCGGCGACTTGTAATCGACCCTCGAAGGCGTGGTTGACAGTACGTAGAACTTCAAAAGTGGAATATGGAGAACACATGAGAAATCTGAAGAACTGATATTTAGAGCGAAGATGTTGCAGAAGCTCGATTTCTACAGTAGGATAGATGATCATGGAAGCGGTGGATGCGTGGACTTAACCAGGGTGGAACACAGAAGACACAGAAGGAGATATCCCAAATTAGTGAAGACGCACATGGATTCATGAAAAAGGGGCAATTATGTGTATACAAACCTCTGAGAAGCTTTGAGAATGACAACACAGGTGCCTCAGTTGACCTTTTCCGCCCTGCATCATCAATTGGAAGAATCGATTCTGTAATAAATTACAATTTTCATTGAATAACTTCGTCGATAGCAGAAATCGAAAACCGTACCTTGAACAAAAAATAGGAAGAACGCCATGGAAGAGATCGTGTAAGACAGCGGTTGATGTTTTTGTGGGTGTGTCACGGGTCGTTCGGTCGAGAAGACCGATATCAGCTTGAGGCGGCAGCGGGATAGGTGGCGGCCGACCCTGGTGGATTGGTATTCTTATGATAGTATGGCGAGAAGACGGTGGAAACAATTGTGATGCAGAGAAGGCGGGGATAGTATGGCGGTGGACTAAGCGTGAATGAAGAGAATATGAGAGGATGAAGAAGAATCGAGAATAAAACGGTGGAGTGGAAACCAGGAAGATAAAGTGAGCGGAAGGATCGGGAACAAAAAGCCTAACCCTATGGTAACTCGGGGAACAGTACCCTGGTCAGGTACTGTTCCTAACTTTCATTCAATAGAAAGACGCAAAGCAGAATTAACAAAGTGACACAGAAACAAAAATAGAGGGACCGGAAATGTAATTTAAGGGACCAAAATTGGCCAAAATGTCTCACGTTACTGTTCCTTTTGTTCACAATTTTAATATATATATATATATATATATAATAATTAAGGTTCTCAATCCCACATCGCTTATTTTTTTGGACTCTAGCATTGTTCACGTATGAGTGCAAAAACGTTCCCATCAAAGGATTACAAGTTGCAACATGGTCTCGCTCTCATTTATACAATATTTCCTCTACTGTATGTTCCTTATATATCAAATCTATTTACTTTTCCTAATCTTATTAGGTTTTTTTTTTTTTTTTTTTTTTTTTTGCAAATCATATTTAATACATTAAATATTTATATAAAATAAAAAAATTCAATCCAATCCGACATGTTTTGACCCACAATTATAATTAAATCTTGTACTCTTTAACCAAGTATCCATTATGCGTGTTTTACACTTTTATCAATTTTGTGTTTTTAAGTGGATCGAATCGAATCAAACGTGATATATCAATATCACACTTTAAAGAATGCTTTGGTTATAGTCTTATAGAAAAGGAAATTTAAAAGTGACAAAACATGGATTATTCCCAATTCCAAAACATACATCACTATCAATTTCTTTTATACATTCATAAACATGTGCGCATGCAAAACATTGTGCACGCATATGCATAAAGAAAACGATGCCAATATCACTAATTTAATTGAAATTGAATAAATATCTAACACAACCACCAATGCTTCAAGATTAACTAAGAATTTAAAAACCCTAAATGTTCATCCCATTCATGTGAAAGACCCAATGATGAAGAAACCCAAAACTAAATCCAAAATCCAGGAACACCTAAAAATTTCTTACAATTTACTCATCAATGATGATGACTATAAAGGGATAATGACTTTGTGAAGGTAAACAATTTTCGATTTTATACATATTTATTAATAAAATTACTTTTACGTTCGACATACCATTAAACTTTTTAAAAATATAAAAAAAAAACACAATTATGACTAGCTATTGTAGGTACTATGTATACCTTGAATCACTAAACTTATGTTTTTGTACATATTTGATCTCTATTGGTTTTTTTTACAAATTTATTCAATAATATTTTTTTCAAACATATTTTACCATTAATCTTACATGATTTAATAAAAATATACTATTTCAAAAAATACTTATATGTATATAACTTTTTCAAAGAATAAACATATTTTTACATATAAATAACGTATTTTACAAATAAATATGTATTTTTTTCATATAAATACATATTTTAATGTATAATGCATATTTTTACATTTAAAACTTATATCTTTAGATATAAATACATATTATTTTTTACGGAGAGAAAGCAAAGAAATAGGAAGAAATGGATCTTTAACATATTTATCCTTAAAAAATAATGAGATAATTTTTTTTAATGATTTAAAAATGAAAGAGAAGATTTTTTTTTTCTTTTCTTTCATTTCCTCCCTCCTTTCCTTACTTTTCATTTTCTTTTCTTTCGTTTCATTAACGCTGTGTTCTTGAGTTTAAAAATTGAGGAGAGGGAAGGAAAGGGATGGGAGAGGAAAAGAAAGGGAATGAGTAGGGAGGAGGAAAAAAAATCACCACACGCGTTCTCAAGTTGTAGGGGAGGGAAATGAATTTCACAGTCAAATGACGTTTTTAACCTTGGTTAGGGTTCATCGGCTTTGGCTTCATCAGAAGGAGAAGAAAAGAAGAAGTTGATGACAAGAAAGATGTGAAAAGGACAGTTGAACTAATCTTGATGGCAAGGAAAATATTGTGAGACAGACGATTCAACTAATCTTGACGGCAAAGAAGATGTGAGTCCTTGCCATTTTTGTTGCGGGTGGGAAGGAGGATGTAAGAAAGAAGGTGAAGAACATGGAATGGTAAAATTGATCATTCTTAGCGTTCCCTCCCAATCCGCCCAAAATTGGGCGGATGATTTTATGTGTAATATAGGTAAGATTTCCTCCCTCTACCACCTTTCTTTTCCTTTCTTTTCTCTCCCAAAAAAAACTAGAGAACACGTTTTCCCTTCTAATCCTTTCTAAGTTCTAACTCCTCCCTTTGCTTCCTTAAAATATCTCAAGAACAGAGTGTAAGTTTCCCTTGGTTTTAAACTCGAATTCAAAGTGTTAAAGGTTTGAATCTTCAGCATATTTTTTTAGGCCATAAATACACAGAAGGAAAATGTTATTATAAATAAAAGGGATAATGATATAAAAACCCTTAAGTTTGGTAAAAGTATGCAAATTTATCATTTTGTGTATTTTTGGTTCATTAAAGTTGGATGCTTGTAACCTTTTTTTTTCAATTTTACCGAATTTTGCAGATTACCTCGTAAAATCGAATTTAAAATCGAATATTTGTCCTAAACTTAAGAGCTTTAATGAATCATAAAACAAAATATAAGGACTTTTATGAACCAGAAAAAATGATAAAACCAAACATTTATGTCAAAGCATAAAGGCTTTAAAAATAATAAAACCAAACATTTCTGACAAGTATAAAGGCTTTAAATAATCATAAATAAACAAAAGAATAAAATTGAAAAAAAAAATAGTTGCAAACATCCGCTTTAGTAAACCTAAAATCATCAAAAGAATAAATTTGTATATTTTTACCAAACTTAAAGGTTTTTATGTCATTATCTCTAAATAAAACTAAAAACCTAATAATATTAATGTTTTCGATAAAACCAACTAACATGCATGTTATCATTAAACGCAATTTGTCCACTAGAAAAAACCACCATTAATTGATGATTACCCTTTGAAGTTGAACCAGAGCCAGAGAAGTGAAAGGGAGACTTTGAAGTGAGTTTTGGGTCCCATCTGAGTCACCAACCAGGCATGCAAGCTTCCCATTTCATGAGTCCCTCGTCTCTTTAATTCAAGAATCAAAAGTCACTTTCTTGCTTTCTCATCCACACACACAAACACCCAAAAACACACATCACTCCTTTTCACATGTTAAACTTGTACCACATGCTTTCAATGTTGTACCATATGCCATAAAACTTGTACTTAATTATCTAGCATTTTTCTTTCTAGCCTCTGTAAAAGAATTAGTCTCTCATCAATGATCCAAGAAAATACTTGCAATAAAAGTTGTACAATAATAATACAATAAGAAAATTCTTACCCTAGGCTTCAAGTTTGTACCTCATTCCTTCATTAAATCAAAGTTGTACATTACTACAAACTTGGCCATATTCGATCATAAATCATACAAAAGTCTTTAAAATTTGTACCCCATGCAGTAAAAGTTGTACTTGACTATCAGATTCGGTTTTTCTTTAACCTTTTTATAGACCCATGGAGAATCATTACCAACAAAATCCTAGATAATACTTGAGAACGCCTTGATGGATGGGTATCAATTCAAACCTGCTTTCAATTTTCTCATTCCAACCCCACAACAAGTCAAATCCCAAGTACCAAATTACCCCTTCTTTCACACAATCTCAGAAAAAGCAATACACATCTCTCTTTTGAGTCTTTTCTTTTTAAGCAAAAATCAATGACAATGATTTTGCAACGACTGAATTAATTGTGTGCTTCACGGAGTAAAAGTTGTACACTCACTGGCAACAAGAGATTTTACATAAAGCCTAAATCTTTTTTTACCATCAACCATCATCATCATCATCAGGATTTCAGGAAACCAAAACTTATCTTCACAAAAGATTTCAAATTCCATTCCATTCCAACTGCAATTTTCCCTCGTCTTATCCTCTTTTTTACACGCAAAACACACCAGTAGACACAATCTTGAATAAAGTAAATTTTTTTTTTTTTTTTTAAAAACAGCCCCCTTTATCCCCAACCAAAGCTAGCTTAGCTAGATCAACGTGCAACTCTTAATGCACGATGCATTCAGAGAGAATCAAGCCCCAAGGCTTTAGCTTTCACCTTCAAAATTCTCAAGTAATTAATGGCTTCATCAAGAATTACCATGGCATCCTTCCCATTCCTCCCACCACCAGGAATCAGATTCTGAAGAACACTTATAGTCTCCCTCACTTTCTCTTTTCTTAACCTCTTACCCCCTGATTCCACATCCGCCACCCCATTCCCGCCATTATTCCCGCAGCTACTGAGCTCCGCCTCACCGGAGCAATTAACACCGGAGCTTGCTGTGTCCTCAAGGGAAACCGCATCATACTCTCCGGAATCCAGTTTCCGGCGTTTCCTACAATCCATCGAACTCGCTACTTCTTCAAGCCATTCATGGCTACCGAACCCCATCACCGGGGAATGCCCGGTACTCTGTTCATCCTCGTCTTCGGAATCATCGATTCCGTCGTCATCAGAATATAGCAATGCCTTGAGCTCTTCTGTATCCTCATGAAACGAATCCGAAGAACGGGTATCCTTGTGTTTTTCCATAACCAAATCCTCATTTTTCATTTCAAAGGTGAATTGTGGTTCCGGGAGGTGGTACGGAATCGGAATCGAGCTGTAAATCAGCGTGGTCCGATCATTCGATTGATCAAACACTAGAAACTTCTTCTGTACAGGTTCAGGAAGTTGTTCCGGTTTGCTGGCTGGAATTGCGAATTCCGGGGGGTTTCCGTAAGGTGAAAGCATGTTCCCCAAAGATGGAATGTTAATCCGGTGCCGGAAACCGGGAGCACTCGACAAATTTGGATCGATTTGTTGGCTTTGAAACCAGGATTCAAAACCCTTCTCCATTTAACCAAAGTTTGTCACCTACAACATGTTATGATAACAATAAGCATATGAATATGATAAAAGATTATTAAATTTTTAGATCAAGAAACTTACCAGGAGATGAACAGTGTCACGTGCGTATATAAAGATTTCTGAAAAACTTTAATAACGATGAAATAAAAAAATGCCAGCTTGATCACGAAGTGGAAAAACAGAACTACGTTACAGGTTTAAGCAAATGTCGGAAATACTCAGCCTGGAAAACAACATACACAACAATACAAGATTAGATTCATTTATTAAAAGATTTACAACTTACATTCTTTTTTATTACGACATCTTACATTAAAAAATCTATCCGGAATTGTTTTGTATTTGAAAATTGAAACACACTAGGATGCTATAAATATAATAAACAAATCAATTGAAATATTTTGCTTTTTTTTTCTTCATTTTGCATTTAACTAACCATGGTAAGAAATATATAAATTCTGGAAACAATATATAATCATAACAAACCTGACAATCTTGGAGAGGTTGAAAGCATGCAATAACTTTAACAACTATGGTGGCACTCCCATCAATTCCATTTTCGTGTTTCAACGCCCGGAATCTTGTTTGGCCGGCAGATTGACACACCATAACTACTTGCAAACCTTTGTATGAATTTTTACCCCCACAAAAGATCTCAACAACGATGACCCAAACAAATCAACACCAAAAAGATTCAATCTTGGTCAAGATTAAAGAACGGGATCGGGGTTGGTTCAGCTAATCCAACGGCAGTAGCAGGGGATGACGACAAAAAGATTAGTTCCCATGGAGAAATTTAACGATTTTTAAAGGGAGATGTTAATACTAATTTACTGATTTGATGGGGATTCCAAGGTTTAAATACTACAGAATCACGCGACAGTAGAGATTGAGGGAGATGACTTTACGATAAACGTCTACAGATAAGCTACACCACCGCATGCTGTGTTTGACCTCTTAGCTGTTTGAATATTCGAGAACAGAAAATCGACTGTAAAGAAACATAACAAGAAGACATAGTAGAAGTGAATAAGTAATTATGATTAAGATCCCGACGATGAAACAAGTAAGAAATATGTAAAATTGCATATATAGCTTTAATCAATTTCTTAACCGATTCAAATCAACATCTAAAGTTACTGGCTTCTGCCAGTAACTTTACCCGTTTGTTTTCAGCGTGTTTCAAGGCCTTTTTAAATAATTTCATGTAAAACAACAAAGTTACACTAAAAGAAACTTGTTGAAAACTAAAACATGCATACAAAGATTTATTCCCTTTGAAGAACTGATAGCATATAAACTGCATATTTCATACTAAATACAGCAATGATCAGAGATCAATTACAAGAAATAATAAGCTTGGATTTAAAACATGTATGGTTCTAGTAGTAATGAAACTCGGTTAATTCCAAAAATACAGCGATCCTGACTTTTAAAAACCGAAAATGGATAGAAAAAGTTCCCAGAAATTAAAACCCAGATCCCAAATTGGGTTATCTTGGAAACCCAGAAACCAAACAAACTGGATGAAAGTAAACTAAACGATGAATTTCACCAGAAAATCAGGAAAATGAGAGTGAAATTTGAACAAGTCTCAAAACATAATTACCGAATTGATTGCTCTTCAAAACCTACAAAATGATCAGAAGAATAACATAAAGACAAGATGGAGATTCATTAGAACTTACATCCCGACCCAATTCTTATATTTCCTAGTCTTCAAGGAGAGAACCGGACCATATAAAAATAAATATGAAACAGAACAAATAATGTTCATCGGAGAACAGAAAGTGAGAGAGAACTTTTGGCTGAAATCAGAAACCTGCTATCGATTAATCTTCAAAATCGAGAAGCCAACGAGAGAATTGGGAGACATTGAAGAGAAAAACAGAATGAACGTTCATCAGAAAACAGATCATTAGAGAGAAAACCTATTTCCCAAATCGATTGATCTCCACAACCCAATAGAGGATCAACAAACAGTAAAAACAAAAAACCGGGAGAGAGAAATTTACCTGACAACAATCTTGAAAATCCAATCCAAATCCCAAACACGATAATTTGCAAACCCCAGTAACAAAATCTGCTGAAAAAGGAAGATCCGAGCAGGAAGAGACGTAAAGAGAGTGATGGATAGGGTAAGGTGTGTGTGAGAGAGAGAGTCGTAAAAAGTTATATAGACATCAATGTCCTTGACCCCCGCGCGTGCAGGGAGAAGAAGAAGTATCTGTTGTATTTTGGTACGTGCGATTCGCACGCTTCGGTGCGGGTGCATTTATTACTCTATAATCATGTACGGGTGTTTCATAATTTTGACCCCGTTTTCGGTTGGAAGTGGGTCCATACGGTTTTTAACCTTTATACATAAACGATGAATAGGGTAAAAGTAGATATATTTTACATGCAATTTGGTAAAAATAGATGTTAGCAGAAGCTACTAAAATACCTGCTAGCGGATAGCCGGCAGTTGTAACTATTATTTGTTATATGAATATTTGGTAAAATTAGCCGGAAGCTTTTAAAATATATAAAATTACATAAAATGATAATTTTTTTTAAAAATAAGTAAATATATAAATATATTTTTAAGGATTATAGAAATTGATTTCAAAAGCTCAGTAGCGTTTTGTTAAACGCTACATAAAGTAGCTTTTAGATTTGGAGCGTTTTATTTAAATTAAAAGTTAAATGTCCGTACTGTCAAACGAAGTTTCTTGTTTAAACTGGAACGTCTTGTCAAAAGCTAAAAGCTAAAAGCTCTCAAACGCTCAGTGCCAAACACGCCCGAAATTACCCAGGTTAAAATCTGAGTTTCTACGATGCAAATTGTAGATATAACACGTGTCACTGGTAAGGAAAAAAAACTTGACAAAATTGTAAAAATTGTTATAATTTCGTGGTTTTGATCTAAAATTTTTTGATGGTTCCCCAATCCTCCAAAATTACATTTTCTTATTGGTTTTGGTCTAGGCCTGACAATCATCGACACGACGCGAAGATAAACGGGTTTGTGTTTAGTTTTTCAACTCGCTAACCCGTTTATTAAACGGGTCGTATATAGGTTTGCCAAAAAACATACGGGTTGACCCGCCAACCCGTTTAGGATTTTAATAAAAAAATTATATACTTTATAAATGTATTAAGTAGTATTCTATTAAATAGGATCTGATCTTTATCTTCCTTACGGTTATTGACACATGACCCTTAACCTGTTAACCATTTTCACCATGTTTTCCCTAAATAATCTCATAAAGACAAAATCGAATAAGTCTTTTCCCTTTAGCCTTATACGCATACGACGACATTGATGAACGACTAGATTTATCTATATTTGTATCAATGTTCTAGTTTGAACATGTTTGCATGAATGTTTTAAATTTTCATTTGGATGTTTGAGACTTGAGTTTTCTAAACTTAGGATAAGTTTGCATCTTTTTAAATTTATGAAATTTATTCATGTTTAATTATTAATTTTATTTATGGAATATGACCCACGAACCCGAATTTGACCGATGAACCCGCCTACCCAAATCTGACCGACGAACCTACGAACCTGAATCTGACCCATGAACCTGAATTTGACCCGTCAACCCATGAACTGATGGGTTTTAGCATAACATACAATCTTCTGTGTGCATGCAACCCTAAAAAGATCTATTTCTTCTCTAATTGAACATACCATATGAACAACAACATGCAAACCCTAGATCTATAGATAATAATCGAAAATCATAAAATAAAGGTTTATGAAACATACATTTGATTGTTATATTGTAAAATCAATCCAAATCCTTGTAGATCTTGAAGCTTGAGAGCAAGTATCACAAGTGTAATACCTCTAATGAATCACAAACACACTTAGCAAGAGGATGAGATATGAGAGGGAGGAGGATGCTTCAAATTTCGGCTACAACTCTCTAGGGTTTCTAGTGGCCGAATTCATCAAGGGTATGGGTCTTTATATAATGAGGTGACTTAGAGTCAAAGCTAGGGTTAAGAGTAGGAAACCCTAATTGCTTTGCTTAAGGACCAAGCACGCCTTAAACCTTCCATTCATAAGCCCTTGGATGAAAATTCTAGAGCTTCTCTAGAAGGTTCTCGTCCAAGCCTCTTTAGGAGGGTTCTAGAGCTTCTTCATCACTATCAATAAATTACCAAACAGCCCCTGCATTTTTCATTAATTCAATTAATCCCAAAATTAATTTCAATTAATTTTTGATTAACTATTAATTAAATAATATGATTTATAATTAATATATTATTTCCATAATACATTAATAAATCATTCATTTCAATTTATTAATCAAATTAATAAATTTTTCCTCTTTCTCAATCAATCATCATGTCTAGTTGCTAGTATGAAGGCAACCCAAAAGGACTGTGTTAATATCAATTCAAGTATATACCAATTATAGTTATGGGCTTAGAGACATAATCCAACAGTTTCCCACTTAGATAAGTTTAATAACTATAATTTCCAGTATAACTTCAAAAAAATGATTCGCAAATTGTAGCCCTCAAAGTCGTTGTCGAACTCTGACCTAGTCAGTAATGTGTCCTAAGATAAGTGATCATATAATCCTCCGTTCTGCAAGATATCATGTGGACAAATGAAATGGAACTGAATCAATCTCATTGTCCAATCATTTGTTTCTCGATTTCCGATTTGTAATGACAAAGAACTACAATCGAACACATCAATTTAGTCATGGTCGGGCCCAACACATAAATCAACACCAAATCATCGAGGGCCAAGATATCGCTTTTTCCCATTGGGGAAAAGGAACATATAAACTTTGACTTATATGCTTGTACTATTTATTCATCAATCAAGCACAACAATACGCTTTATAACATTAAGTTACTGATGTGTTTGCGTATCATCAATGCACAACTAACTCGTAAACAACAACTCATATATCTCCGTTTATAGGTTATAAGATATTATCGTCTCAGAATTACTCGTGATAAATTCCATGAAGTAATTCCCTGAGCGTGGGTTAATCCAATACTTAAATCCCCATTTTAAAAGTACTCATGAATACTGCAGCAAACCTTTGCTATGTCTAAAACACTTAGACAATCTACAGTCCAATTCATGACAATCTTGATTTATACTTGCTTCCAAAAGTATGATCGACTGTGGATGTTTGAATAATCCAATTATTCGGGAAGTTAAACATGCAAAATGAAATACAATAATAAACAATTGACAAAAGATAGTAAACAATACTCATAAACAAATCTCCATTATTTATTCATCGAATGCTAATTACATTTATTTGTTACAAGTTTCTAAATATCTATCTAACAACTAAAACTACTATCATCCTTCATACCAATGCTCCTTGCATGTTGAACGTGCTTAACCCTACTCAGACCCTTTGTGAGGGGATCTGCAAGATTCTCTTCTGATGATACACTCTTCACGAGGAGGTTTCCTTCTTCTACTCTATGTCTGATAAAGTGGTATTTTCTGTCGATACGTCTAAATCTTCCTTGATCTCTTGGTTCCTTGGTTAAGGCAACCACTCCTTCATTATCACAGAAAATCTCCATTAGCTCCTTTATGGTTGGCACAACTTCAAGGTCTCCGATGAAGTTCTTCAATCATATAGCCTCCTTCGATGCTTCGCTTGCCGCTATATACTCTGATTCACAAGTAGAATCAGCCACAGTCTCCTTCTTGGAACTTTTCCAAGTTATTGCTCCTCCATTAAGGGTAAATACTCAGCCAGACTGAGAACGAAAGTTGTCTCTGTCTGTCTGAAAACTGGCGTTACTATACCCGGTTACTCTCAAGTCATCACTGCCACCAAGCACAAGGACCCATTCCTTAGTTCTTCGCAGATACTTAAGAATATTCTTAACTGCTATCCAATGAGCTCTACCCAGATTTCCCTGATATCGACTAACCATACTCAAAGCAAAAGCCACATCAGGGCGAGTACATGGCATATCATACATGATCGATCCAACGGCAGAAGCATATGGAACTCGACTCATTTCTGCTATCTCAGCATTAATACTCGGACTCTGAGTCTTACTCAGTTTGGTATTGCTCTGGATAGGCAACTCTCCTTTCTTGGAATTCTCAATGCTAAACCATTTTAACACTTTATCCAAATATGTACTCTGACTAAGTCCAATTAGTCTTTTACTCATATTCCAAATATGGAATCCTTATCCCTAGGATATAGGCAGCCTCTCCTAGATCCTTCATAGGGAAACACTTTCCAAGCCAAGACTTAACTTATTGCAAAGTTGGAATGTCGTTTCCTATAAGGAGTATGTCATCAACATACAACACTAGGAAGGTTACTATTGTTGGGTTTTGAGCACTATAACACTCATATGGTGCACATACAACCCAAGATGCTTTGGATCTAAGTTTTCTCTCATTATACATGCAATTTCATTTTTCCAAAGAATATACCCTAGCTAGCATGCAATTGGAGATATACAACATAAAAACTAGTTATATGAATACCTCTTAGTGTAGCTTGTAGTTCTTGGCCTTTCAAGAGCTTAGCACCTCAAATGTGATGCCTCTAATGTATCACAAACACCATGAACAAATGGATGATAATGAGAGAGAGGCTAGGAGTACACAAAATCGGTTACGGTTCTTCTTGGAACGATTAGGTACCATTTTGGAGTGTTAGGGGTTACATATATAGTGTGGAATTCCTAGGGTTTCAACTTATAAACCCTAATTCACTTCCTTAGGCTTTTAATCCAATAATCCATATGATAAGCCCTTTGGACTAACTCTTCATGGACTCCCACATAGAATTAGTCCATCCTAATCAACATGGATCATTAGCCCAAACTATATGTATTACTGATTTACCTAATCAGTCCCCGTTAATTTAATTAGTCTCTTTTGATCACTAAATTAATTCCAAATTAATTCCTGATCAATACCAATTAAATATGATTTCTTAATTAATATATTATACTTATAATATATTAATAAATCACAAATAACCTCTTTCTCAAATATCCATCCTATCAAATTGTTCTGGTGAAGGCAACCCAAAAGGACCATGCTACTATTGGGTCAAGTACATACCAATTATAGTTATGGGCTTAGACACCTAATCCAATAGTCTCCCACTTGGATAAGTCTAATAACTATAATTGCAAGCACAACTTCAAAATCCGATTAGCAATCATAGCTCTCAAAAGCCGTTGTCGAACTCTGATCTTATCAGTAACGCGTCCTTTAGATAAGGGATCATATATTCCTCCATTATACAAGATATCGTATGG